TACCAGGGATTGAACTCAGGTCTTTGCGCTTGTAAGGCAGTCAGCAGAACTGCTGAGCTAAATCCCTGGCCTGAAAATGTGTATGTTCTAATTTGCTGATGTAGTTTTCACAACATCTGTATTTTATTAGGGCCTTTCTTTTAAGCCCAAAGGAATAACTCCAAAGTATTAAGAAGTAAGTAAGTATTTTAACTAACATCTCTGCCTTTTCTGGGCTTATAACTTCCAGACAAATGCTGGTTTTCCTTATTAGGCAGGAGAGCAGAGGATAATCCTGATGGATTTGTCAGCACCATCATTGCTCTGACATACATTTTCCTCTCCAAAGCCAGGAGCTGCACACATCATCTGACCTGTGAGGTCAAAGCCCTACTGAGTTAATAATAACAGTGATTAATATTTCTGTCAGGAAAAGGAATAAACTGTTCACCTACTGGGATGCATTAACATTTTCACATTTTCAGGGAATTCAACAAACACTGAAAGATGTGGCTTACTAACTAAGCTCTAACAGCAGAAGATAGTTTCATTTTTCTTCTAGAAAATGAGTGATTAACCATCTCATTAGCATATCTCATTAGTGCTATTTGCAGTTATTTGCATAACTGTCTTACAACATAGTTTACTACAAAAGTTCTAGTCTATCAATGATACAGTTTTCACTGTACGAAATAACACATAATTCCCCAGAGAAAGAACCTGGTTTAATTTAATCAAAGCAAAAATAAGATTATCCTTGTATATCCAAGATCATTACACAATTCAGTTAAACAAATACTAACTTAATACCTGCTATTTGTAAAGCACTGAAATAAGTGTTACAAATCCTTGACATTTGTATAGTCCTTTGGTATAGAATTATTTTAATTCTTCATATAAACTCTACTTGGTTATCATCTTCATTTTACAGTTGTGAACCAAGGCTGTGAGGGATAAGTGGTTTGATAGTAATGGCCACCAAGTTAATAAACGTTAGAGTCAGGTTTAGTGAATTGCTTCTAATGAATAAAATGTTATGGAAGTAATGCCTAGTAGTGATTTCTATCGCAGGTCATAAAAAGGATAACTTCTGCCTGGTGGATTCTCACTCTCTTTTTCTCACATTCTCCTGGACTCTTTCCCCATTTTTTTAAATTGAGTTTATTGGTATAATCTAGGTCTACGATATAGTTACATTCATAACTGGGATCCTGTACCTTCACATGACAGGTGCTGGTTCTCATTTTTTCCCCTTGTCCCTGCCCTCCCTTCACCCCCGCTCCTTCCCTTCCCATTAACAAACTCTTTACTTCCATTTTTTCATTTTCTCATATTTTTTTCTTTTCCCTTTCTCTTTCCCTTTCCCCTTTCCCTACACTTTTAGCCCTTTTCTTCCTATTTCACACTCTTATTTATCCCATTAGGATCCTTTGTACTATTATAGTTTTCACACCAGAGAAACTATTCAGTATTTACACATGTGTGACTTATTTCACTTAGGAGTAGATCCTCAATATGTGTCCATTTTCCTATGAATTACTCTAATTTTTCATTCTTTATGGCTGAGTAGTATTCCATTTTATAGAAAAACTACATCTTCTTTATCCAGTTTCCAACAGATGGGCAGATGGGCTGTTTCCAAGTTTTAGCTATTACAAACTGTGCCACTATAAACATTGGTGTACATATATCACTGTGGAATGATTCTTTTAAATCTCTTGGAAGGATTAAAAACCTTCTGCACTGCAAAAGAAACCATCAACAGAACTAAGAGACATCCTACAATGTGGGAAAAATTTTTTACCAGCTGCTCCTCAGACAAAGGACTATTATCTAGAATATATAAAGAACTCAAAACAATAAGCCCCCCCAAATATAAAGACTCAATTCAAAAAATGGGCATCTGAAATGAACAGACATTTCTCAGACAAAGAAGTAAAAGCAGCAAGTAAATGTATGAAAAAATGTGCCACACCATTGGTCATTCGAGAGATGCAGATGAAAACAACACTGAGATTCCACCTCACCCCATAAAGAATGGCTGCTATCAAGAAATCACACAATAACAAATGTTGGCGGGGTTGTGGGGAGATAGGAACCCTGCTCCATTGTTGGTGGGAGTGCAGACTGGTGCAACCACTATGGAAATCAATATGAAGATGCCTCAAAGAGCTAGGTCTAGAGGTTCCATTTCCCCATTTCTTAATCTTCATTTCCCTCTCAAATCACTCATTCTTGGGGGCACTCAAGCAGCTCTGTGCTGAGGCTCATATAGGGGAAAATGCAGCTTTCCACCAGAACCTAGTAGCTATGTGTCCAGCAAGAGGAGAATACACCCTGGAAATAAATCCTTCAGCCCCAACCAAGTCTTCAGGTGATGGCAGTCCTGATACATTGTCTGCTGCATTTGTCCAGTTAAACTGCTTTTAAATTCCTGACACACAGAGGGCATGGGACCATACTGTTTTAAACCACTAATTTTGTTTTGTTTTGTTTTTTGAGTCAGGGTCTCACTATGTAGTTGAGACCGACCTGGAACTCACTATGTTGTCCAGGCTGATCTCGAACTCACAGCAATCCTCCTGCCTCAGCCTCCCGAATGCTGGAATTACAGGCATGGTGGTGCATGCCTCTAAGCTTTGAATGATTACTTATTTAACAATAGATTACTACTAGGTCTAGCCAATATTGTGACATAATCACAATGAGTAGATGAATGATTAAAGTGTATTTTCTATGATCATATGATATAGGGAGGCTATTTTTTTCTTAATTTTTACAATAATAGACTAGTGACATATAACTAGTGTTCTCTGTCTTTAAAACAGGTAGAGATAAATTAAAAGGAAACAATTTCAGAGGGAGAAGAAAACCAAGAGATTATTTACTTTAAGTCCTTCCTGACCAAGTGATTTAGAAGTGAAGGTACCCCAAAATGGTTTTGGTATAAACACACACGTCACATATATATTCATTTATTTGTTTTTTTTTTTTTGAGACAGGGTCTTGCTTTGTAGTTCAGGCTGGTCCTGAGCTTACTGTGTATCCCAGGCTTGCCTTGAACTCATAGCGATCCTCCTGCCTAAGCCTCCTGAGTACTGGGATTACAGATGTGTGCCATGCCTGGCTTTTTAAAAATTACACATATTTAGTCCTATGGTATTGTTTAAATTATGATTTATCAAAATAACACTTGTGCATAAACAATATATCATCAAAAGCAGTCCTGTGACAACTTTCACCACTCTTATTCCCCCAAAACATCCGTAGTTACCTTTTAACTTACATTTTTTGATAACTACCTTCATATTCCAAGATGATAAGCTTATACTTTTTTTTCTTGATGTATTAACTTCAGGGAATATTTACTGATTTCCCATTGTGGTCAATGGAAATTTCTTTCTTATCCCCACTTTAATTTCCTAAACAATTATAATTTTTCAGTTAAAGCAATATTTAGTATTTATACTTTCATGACTAAATACTGTTTAATGCTGAGTCAAATAATGAACAATGATCATCTGTTCCATACAGGTTGTTTTCTTGGATTTATTTCCTTTTCTTAATTTTTTTGTATTTACTATTTGTTTCTAAGGCATTAACAGAGTCAATCGAATGTCTAGCAATAACTGTTGCCAACTCTCAAACACACCAAATAATCCATCAGTTCATTGTATTTCCTTCCTGGAGACCTCCCTCCACAGCAGTCTGTTCTTTTGCTATAATCTAGACTGGTTTCACTGTAGCCCAGGTGTTCTGGTAGAACTTACCATAGTCATTTTGATTTTGTGATTGTTTCTGAAAGAGAATTTGCTAATGTGATGAATTTGCAAATGTGAATATAACTAAAATGAGGAAGCATTAATATTTTAAAGAGAACCCTAAATTATTAATATGTATGGCTTCTATGGATTCATCAGCCTGTGAGGTTGTATAGAATGAAATTACATTTATTTTTGATACCCAAATAGTTCATGCCTTTATAATTTGAATATAAGATGTCAGTAACATTACCTTTGCAAAGTGCTCTCTGAGTTTTTCTAGGGAATCCTTACTAGAGAAGTATTCACATGTGCTCTCCAACTAATCTACCTACTGGTTTCCACGAGGCACTTGCCATGTTCTTTCTTTTTTGCTTTAGCTTCCCGGCCAATGTGTACTGCCTTAGGTACTTGTTTGAAGGTGTTGATAGTATTCTTCATTGCTAATTGTATTACTCAGGGTAGGCTTTGTATGTGTCAAGGGTGTTTTGTCTTGATGTTTCCATTTCCAAGAATACTAGGAGGTACTATGCTCAATGGGAGGTAATATGAATGATCCTTTCTCCAATTCTGTATTACTTTCTCTCTTCCTCTCTTCCATTGGTTAAGTTCAGAATCCATAAAAACTCTTTTAGCTTCTCTTCTTTGTAGTTTCTTATTTACATACTCCCCTGTCACCTTCCATTCATGCCCAAGGGAATTAATAGTCACAAGCAACTGCTAACCACCATCTCTCTAGACATAATATAGAAGCTAGACAATGTAGAAACAAAGCTCAGTCACATACAGCAGTATCCCTTATCTGAGGTTTTGCTTTCCATAGTTTCAGTTTCTCTTGGTTTATAACAATTCAAAAATATTAAATGGAAAATGTCAGAAATAAACACTTAATAAGTTTTAAGTTGTATGCCATTCTGAGTAGCATGGTGGAATCTCGCACTGCCCTACTTTGTCCAACCTGAAATGAAACATCCCTTTATCCAGCATACACACATCGTATGGAGTATCCATCCCATTTGTCACTTAGCAGCCATCTTGGTTATCAGATTGACTGCCACAGTATCAAAGTGCTTTTATATAGGGTTTGGTAACATCAGTGGTGTCAGGCATACACTAGGATTCTTTGACTATGTAGGTATCAGTCATCTTTCCTGTCACTGGAACAAAGTACATTGTACCCTTCATTTACGAACTCAATCTGTTCCCAAAGGCTGGTTGTAAATCAAGTTGGATGTAAGTCAATAGAGCTGAGATCTGGATGCCTATCTGGGTACAGACTGTAGATAACAAGAGGCAGATGAATCTTCTATTGACCTAATTAATCCAATTGTTCATATGTCAGGCAGATTGTAACTTGAGAGTCCACTGTACCTGATACTCTCAACTTAAAGGAGAGATTTATTTTTGCTCACAGTTTCAGAGGTTTCAGTCCTTGGTCAACTTACTTCAAGGCAGGAACATTATGGCAGAAGGTCATGGTAGAGCAAAGTTATTTCATGGCAGCCAGTAAGCAGAGCATAGGGGAAGTGGGCCAGTGAGAAATGTACCCTCCAAATATATGTATGTCTTCAGTAACCCACTCTTTCTAAATGGGCCCTACTTAACAGCACATTCAGCTATGAATATTAATGGATTAATCCACTGGTGAGTATGATACCCCAAAATCCAGCCACATCTCCAGGAGTCTCTCAATTCAGTCTAGTTAACAACTAAGCTTAACTGTCACAGAATATATACCTCCTGGATAGCAAGGGACTACTATAATTTATTGCCAAACTAAAATATTTAACATGTATATAGTAGTTATATCCTCAAACCAGAGAAACAGCATTAAAGTGAAATGAAATACACATTCTAGAGCTAGAACACTACTTGTTACTTATGAATGATGGACTTTTTTCTCTTTTTTTTGGTACTGGGGATTGAGCTCAGGCCCTTGCACTTGTGAGGCAGGCAGTGGAACCACTGAGCCAAATCCCCAGCCAGTGATGGACCTTTCAATCCACTAAACAAAATTTTAGAAAACTTAACAGTCTAATTTCAATCCAAGTACCATACTGAAAATCTTCAAATATGTCCATATATTTTTGGAAAACCCCAAAGTTTTTTCCTTGGAAAAATTTGGAAACCTTCTGTAGGTATTTGTAATAAAATAGAAATGAAATATACTCAGTCTTTAGTATCCTCAGGTCCCATATTCTTGGATTCAAGCAACTTTGGATCAAAATGTTTGGAAAATATTGCTTCTGTATTGAACATGTACAGATTTCTTTTTTCATTGTAATTATTCCCCAAATAACACAGTATGACAGGTATTATATAGTATTTACTTTGTCTTAGGTATTATAAATCATTTAGAGATTATTTAAAATGCATAAGTGGATGATTGTACATTGTATGTAAATGTTGTGCCATTTAATATAAGGACCTGAATATCTAAGAAATTTGAGGTCCTAGGGTCAATTCCCTTTTGGCAACAAAGGGCAATTGTAATAAATATTTCAGACTTTTTATTAATTCACATTGATATATTCCCTAAAAAATGTCTAACTTGCTAAGCAATGGATGTTAATCCAGCATACATCTCCCAATAAGTCATCCAAACATGAGGCCCCACTTACCTTGCCTATGACATCCATTAACAACTTGAGGGCTTGAGGATCATGAACCAATGAGTCTGTATAAAAGGATCCTAGGTATTTCTTTGGGTCAGTTGGATTGTCCTGGGCGCATAGATCTGGGCGCATGTTGAATCCATGGGAAATTCTTCCCACCGTGAAAGGGAAGGCACCACCTGCAAGAAAAACAATCCAGGAGGAGTGTGCGTTAAAAAGGATTCCTCATTGCAGAGATGGTAATTGGAGAGGACAGTTCCCCAGATTGTAAGAGTTAACTGAAGATATTGACACAATTTAAAAAAAATCAGTAAAGGAATGTATATAATATTGCTCTTGGGGCTGGGGATTTAGCACAGTGGTTCTGCCACCTGCCTTGCAAGAACAAGGACCTGAGTTCGATCTTCGGTACCAAAAAAAAAAGTGCTCTTGTGTTTTACAGTAAGATTTGTTGCTCTCAGACTGTGTAAAACAAAATTTATTCATGTTTTCTGCATATTAAAAAATCTTTTTATATCAATTGGTAAACTATTAAATGCCTATAAAACTAAAAAAAAAAAAAAAAGATTCCTTTCAGTCTTGGTGTTTTCTGTAGAGGAAGTTACCATAGCTCAACTAATGAATGAAAAGTCTACAAAGGACCTGCTGGATTCCAAATGCTGGGAGATGATATAACTCATTAGAAATTCAGACATGAGAGATTCATCTCAAAGAAAGAAGGCAAACATGGAAAGATACGTGATCAATGTCAAATGTAGTGTGGTTATCATAGCAAAATATCATGGCAATATTATTAGTTGAGTGATATCTGAATTATGCTGGAATTTCCATAAAATGAAATGCTATGCACAAAATCATGAAAAAGTGATACAGCTCTGTATTTATTGATATGGAAAGTGTTTTCTCTATGTGCTGTGAAAGAAGAGCAGGTTAGATAATTACAGATATAGTTTGATATTATGTATGCTTATGTTTGTGTGTTCAGGAGTCATAACCTCAATTACTAAAGGGACCAGACAAGCAATACAGAGGAATGGATTAGGCCTTTGTAAACAATGGAGAATGGTAGAGACTGGAGAACTCAGCCTGATTAGAGAGACTTACATACAAAATAAAATACAATTAAACAAAAGCTAAGCTTGCCTATAAAAATGGAATTTGGTCCCATCATATGGCTAGAATTATGACTGGACAGTTGTGGCAAGGCTGGTGGCAGAGCCACTGAGCTAAGTCCCTGGCTCATGACTGGAAAGTTGTTATATAGACTAAATTGTATCCCTCCAGAATTCCTCTGTTCAAGTTCTAACCTCTAATATGACTATATTTGGAGACAGAGCCTTTACAGAAGTAATGAAAATTACTTGAGTTTGGAAGATGGATCCCTAATCCAAAAAGACTGATGTCCTTATAAAAAGAAGAGACACCTGTGCTCTCCCTTTTCTTTCCCTGTTCCCCTTTCCACTCCCTGGCCATGCATGCAGAGAGGAAAGGCCATCTGTGAGCTGGGAAGAAAGTGCTCACGAGAAATCAGCCTGCCAACACCTTGATCTTAGACTTCTAGTCTCCAGAACAATGAGAAAATAAATGTCGTTTAAACTGCCTAGTCCATGGTATTTTGTTATAGCGGGCTAGGCTAAGTAATACAAGAAGGACCTTACCTCCATGTGCAAAACATACTTTCAGTTTAGGAAACTTCTCGAACACCCCACCCATGATCATGGAACAAATAGCCATTGTGGTCTCTGTAGGCATTCCTGAAAGAGGAAATAGTCACAAAGTTCAGGCTTGTCCCTTTCACCAAGAAGAAGGTCAATGTCATTACTTGCCAGGGAATAGCAGGTAATAGCTGGGGAATTGCCAGTGCCAGTAATCATGGGGCTCCTGTTCTCCAGTATGGTTTGGCTATATACAGGGTTGGATGCTTCCTATTTGTCATCTGCAAGGAGAATAGTATAGTGGCTAGAACATCTTTTGTCTGGATTCTCCCGACTTTAGTTCTGGTTGCAGTGGGGCAAGCAAGGTGTAAGGAGTCTGGGCTGAATACTAACTCTTGCAATTCTCTGCCTCCTGGCCTGTGATAAGTTATTTAATGTACTTGAGCCTGGGCTTCTTTACCTGTACGATAAATACAAGGTTGCCTATCTTGCAAGACTTTTGCGGAGTTTTGCAACTAATGATGTTACCACACTTCTTGGGAAGAAGTTCACCTTGCAGATTCTCAACAAATATTAGTTGCCCTCTGTGTCTCAATGTGATCATCTATAAAATGATCATCTTAATAGCTGGGTCCTGCCAATGGGTTTGTTTTGAGGATTCAGCAGACAGCACCCAACAGTTATTGCTCACTAAACATTAAATATTATTGTTATTCCTGCCAAATCAGTGCTGTCTCTCAGGGTTAAGGTTGAAAATTAGTCGACTAGTGTGAATTATTTCAAGTGCTCTGTGCTTCGAGGAGAAGCAGCTGGTCCATATCTAATGCCTTCATGCCCAAGGTGCTGGTTTGGGTTGCATTGCCAAATGACTGCTTTTCAGGTTGTGGCTGAGATCTGACTGTTCCTCAGAGGCAACCTGCACCTTCTGTGGGCACTGTTTTTGGGCTGTTGACTGGGGCTTTACTGGACACTCATTTTGTCTGTCACTTCTCCATAAGCGGTGATGCCGTATCTCTTCACTTTCCTGAGAATTCTGGAAGCATGATGAATTCATATCAATTTGTGAGTTATTTTGGGGTAGAGCTCCCTGACAGCAGAGGGATTGACAACATCACTTCCTTCTGGACCTGTGATTTTGCTTCCCATTAATTACTTGAAACAGCCCACAAGCTATTTTCTAAAGAGACAAAGTTATATTCACAATGGACTATGAACCTTCCTTCGTTCCACTAACAATCACTTTTGCATTCACAATAGAATTCTGAAGTTGACCTATTTGTTTTATGATCAGTGTTACTTGATTATCATTCCTTTTCTCTGACTAGAATGTAAGCCCCATGGGGGCAACAGTTTTGTTCATATCCGCATACAGGGCTTGGCATGATGGAAGATATCAATATATATCCATTGGATAGAGAAATGATAAAATGATTTTATGAAAATACTCGGTTTTTCATGTCAAAAGTTGTAATTTTTGGGGCCAGGGATTTAACTCAGCAGTGCCTTGCCTGCCTTACAAGCTCAAGTTCCTGATTTTGATTCCAGGCACAGCAAAACAGAAAAAAAAGTTCTAATTTATAGATAAGTTTGTGAAATTTGTGTGAATCAGGATGACATTATTTTGGATCTGGACAGCACCATTTTTTTTTTTTTTGAGAAAGGGTCTTACTATGTAGTTGAGAATGACCTGGAACTCACTATGTAGCCCAGGCTGGTCTCGAACTCACAGCAATCCTCCTGCCTCAGCCTCCTGAGTGCTGGGATTACAGGTGTGCGCCACCATGCCTGGCGACAGCACCATATTTTTAAGCAATGATTAGTAGAAAAAAGTTAGTGGGGATGGGTGGGAACCTGTTTTGTTAAATACTTTGGTTTCCACTAACAATCAGAGGACCATGTAAAATACCATAGCAGAAAGAGACCATTGGGGGAATCCAGACCAGGTCCCTTATTTACAGATGAGGAAATGGAGCTCAAGGAGGTGAAGCAATTTGCTACATGTTATACCATTACATAGAGACTAAGCTCAAACTAAAATTCTGACTTTGACTTCCAATATATTGCTTCATTTAATTCTTCATTTTGGGTAGTTGCCATTTTGATTAATTAATAATTACTAACTGTGCTGGAGAGTGAATGAATGGATGAGGATCCCTAAAAAGTCCAACACTTCACTTAGGGACCCACTTTTCATTGGGTTTTTAGATGAGCTGCACTTTTCGTTGTAGCTCCAGAATTTTACATCATGTATTCTCCATTTCCTTAGTGGGCTGAAAATGAGAGTTTGGATGTGACAAATAGAGGTGTCTCCTCTTTCCTTTTCCATCACTGTCACGTGGAACCATGAATTAATAGTGCAGCAAACAGGCCAGGGTTCGGTCACCTGCCTCACAAATGCAAGGTCCCAAGTTTTATCCCTGGTACAAAAAAAAAAAAAAAAAAAAAAAATTGTGCAGGAAACACAGGGCAGAAGAGAGGAGCAAATAACAGAAACATTGAGAGCTTTCATAACTGAAGGCTTCAAGATCTTAGATGGGAGAAGTTGACCTTCTACTTGTAATTCCAGTGTTCTCATTTATGACAGCTGATGTAATTTTCAGCTTCTAAAAAAGTCTGCTGAACATTCGTAATTTTTTCCTTTTCTTGGAGCCTTTTTGGAAGTTTGTGTAGCAAAGTGCCTTTGGAGTCAGGCAGATCTATGTAAATTCCAGTTTCTTTTATTAACTGTGTAACTTGAAGGACTTAGCTATCCACTTCAAGACTCCATTTCTCCATCTGTAGAAAGGTTGTTATAATATCAACCTTGTAGATTAAATATATGATTTATTTATCATGTGACTTACTTATAAGCATATTGGATATGATTAAAGTTAGCAAGGTAATATATATAGTGCTGATCTGAGTAAGAGTTCGATACATGATGGTTACTATTATTCTCAATCTTGTTAGTTTTACTTTCTCTCTTTTACATAATAGGGTTCCACAGGTGATTGGAAAAACCCAAGAGTTGGTCCTCTATTCCAAACCACAAGCTGACACAAACCTACAAGCCAAGGGAACCAGTATTTGGCCATTCTTCCATCCATCTGCATGTCCCAGGGATGCACGAACAGGGAACAGTTCAGACTTTCAGCTGCCTTTGAAGAAGCAACAAGAGAAGAAAATCTGGATGAACCAACAAATACAAGGTACTCTCTTCGTGAAACAGCTCCCCCCCAAGTTTATATTGATTTGAGTAAATATAATACTTTTGAAGTTTTTTTTTCCCTGGTACTGGAAATTGAACTCAAGACCTTATGCTTGCCAGGCAGGTGTGGTGCCACTGAGTTAAATCCCTGGCCCTTGAAGTTGTTTTTTGATCTGTGTAAAAGAAACATTAACAAACTGCTCCTGCTTGGAAAATTATAAAGGACATGTAGAATTAATGAAATGGATTGGTGGATTTACCATTGAAGTTGATAAATTTAATATCTTGCTTGGCAAAACAAATCACAGTAAACATTCATCAGTCAGATATTTTGGCTGAGATCAAAATGTTCAAGCACTAATCCCATACTTCACATGTAGCAGAAGTTTTCCCTGCTGGCTCCTACTTCGTCCACTTTCTGGGAGGTATGGATACTATGATATCCTTGGAGTCAAGGCAGCAGTGCTTCTTTTTATTCTCCACTGAGAAACTTGAGGATGTAGGAAGTGAGGAAATGGTGGACTGGGTGCTGGGGTCGTAGGGCTGGGTAGAACAGGCTGGCCTGACTCAAGCCATCAAGTCACACAGAGCCCAAACTAGGTGGGAATTTTCTGGGGCCTATAGGCACTCAGTCCCCAGAGGCCAGGTGTCCCCAAACAGTCTGCTGTGAATAAGATGACCGAGGAGGGGAACAACCTCTCAGTGCCTGAGCTGAAGCAAGAACTAAGAGGAGTATCACTGGCAAACTTGTTCCAGGGTTTCCTGAGAAATGGAAATACCATCTGGATGGAATGACCTTTATTCACCAGGATATTTACTAAGATAAGTCTTCCCAACAAGCATTGAATATTAGTGCTTACTAAGGTTCAAAAACAGATTTTCCTTTGTACATTTTCTTCCCAAATGTAGGAGTCCTGAAGTGAATCATCCTATCTTCATTCATAAATATTGTGTTAACTAGGCTGATGCACTGTGACTTGTACATAAGCAATTTTAAAGTGTAAAAGCAATTTTGGACAAAAGGAGATTCTGAAAATGGTAGGCAAGGATAAATTGAAGGAGAGCTCTAACTCAGTAGTTTCTGGGGATAAGAAAGATATAAGTCTTTTGAAGGAAGAAGGGCTAATTGATTTTTTTTTTTTTTTATATCAGGGATTGAACTCAGGTCCTTGCGCTTGTGAGGCAGGTGACGGAACCACTGAGCCAAATCCCCAGCCCGGCTAGTTGATTTTTGATAATGGATGCAGGTTACAAAGAGAATATTGACTTCTTAGAATGGTTTAGACTTTGCAAAAGCATATGATTGAGGTATCCCATTGGGATTTAATCCTCATTAAGATAAAACTTTATTCTATGTGCCTATAATGGTTCATTTCTATTCAGTTCAAGTTAATAATTAAAAAACCTCCTATATATGAGATATGGAGAACACAAAACCACTTTTCTCAAACATATAACATTCACTGAGAACTTAGTATATGCCAAAGCTGCTTTAAGAATTTTGTAATTATTGGGGCTGAGCCCACAGCTTAGTGGCACTTATCTACCTTATGCAAGGACCTGGATTTGACCCTCAGTATCACAAAAATTTATAATTATTAATTATTTCAATTCATCATCTGATGAGCACTCTTGTTCCCCTCGTTTTACAGAGAAGGAAACTGAGGCAGATGAAGTGAAGCCTAAGTAATTTACTCAGATATTATGGCTTGTTAATGGTAGAGTCATACAATCTGGCCCTGCCATTTCATCTGGCTCATAATTATAATTTTTGTACCTGAAAAGTACACTCATGTTCACTCATTAATAAGGGAGGTCTGGGAGACAATGGGGACAGTTAGATACTCTGCCCACCAGGCTTACCTTGAAATGACGAAGTCAGCTTGGCTTTCAGAATTTTCTATTTGTTTGAACATGTTACTGACACAAGCTAGAGATATTGAGGCAGACAAGCTTTGCTGACCAAACAAATGTGCTGTTAACCCGGGAACATTACAAGTCAACAGGGGTCAGGATATGCTCCTGAATTCTTCAGAGACTGGCAGTCCCCCAAACAAACTAATTACAATAATAGGTGGGTTAAGCTTGTCACACATTGAAAATATTTGTGTGGCCCCCCAACTGTCTGTTATTGCTTTCTAAGCCCCTTAGCAATTCATAAATCCAATTCCAATAAATAGTAAAATGACTTGTGGCTGAAGTCTTGTTCATACTGTGCTGAAACAACTTGAATACTCAAGTAAGTAAATCCTTTTTCAAAGCTCACTAAAGTTTCCAAAAAACATTCATGGCATCAGCTGAGATGCCGAAGCCAATAAGCTTCAGGCAGAGCAGTATTCATAGGAATATTAAATATTTCATGTCATTTAACAGGCAATCCTCAACTGGTGGGCCATCACCATAGATACAAACATGGAAGATTTTTTTGCATGTAATTAGAGCTTAATAAATATCAAACGAATAAATGATAGTAAATATAGTTCCTGGTGAGTCCACAAACATCTATTTAACTCATTGCTAAGGATTTTGCATTTACAATGAAAATAATACTCTACCATTATAATTCTAAGAAGGAAGAAAGGAAGGAATTTTAAAAAGCTATCGAGTAAAAGAATCATGGATCTTGAATCCTGGTACTTAAGACAGCAGGTTTATTTATAGAATGAACAGAAAGAAGAGAAAGGGTAGTGGAGAAGATTATGAAAACAGTTACTTGAAGTTGGGAATTTCCTAAGTAGACTGGCACTAAATTTTTGGAAATATATTTTATTATGATATAATTTAAATATAGAAAGTATAAACAGCAGTATAACAAACATCTGTATAATAATTATCTTGTTTCATCAAATGTTAACATTTTCATAGCATTATTTTTCATTATATATTTTTGTTATACATTTTCACAATATATCACTTTAAATGTTTGTTAATTGAGAATTGGTTACATAAATCATGACATATTTATACACTGTATTATTCTGCAGTTATTTAAAATAACACATTAAGGTAATTTTAATTTGGACTGGAAATTCTCAGGATATAAAATTGCATGTGTAACAGTTTCAATTTCGCTGAATATAGATATATGCAAATTTTACAGATGAAATATAATAAACAGTGGCTATCTTTGAGTGACACAATTAAGGATGATGTTTGTTCCTCTTTATACTTTTCTGACTTTTCCACAATTTTTCAAAGTTCATATATTTAAAACAATTTTTCAAAATTTTTTACAAAATAAAAAAAAATTTTGCGTGTCATTAATATGGTTCTTATGCACAATAGCTGTGATAAGGGAGACATTTCAGTTTCCTAAGGAGAGCAAGGGTGATAGAAAGAAGAGATTTCATTATGGAGTTAACTCAGGGCTGTTCTAGGAAGCATTTGCACCACCTCTCTTCTATAGAATTCAGTTTTTTGAAGGAGTTTTGGTGGGAGGTTTCTGTACCTTCAGCCTACATCTAAAATCATCAGCATTTCTGTCTCCCCACCCTCCAGTGAGGTGCTGCCTTTATCTTCTCCTCACCAGCACTGAAGGGAGTGCTCAGCCCTGGCAAGGTTATTCTGTGATCACGTGTTGGCTGAGTGACAGCTGAGTACTCACTTCATAGAACTGGAAGAGTTCCTGGTCATTCAGGTCCCATGAGTTGATATGGGAGCCAATCTGGACCCCTGGAAAGCCTAACTCCTTTACACAGCGCTCCATCTCCTTGATGGCCAGCTCTGGAGCTTGCATGGGCAATGTCCCCAGACCCACAAACCTGCGGGGATGGCTCACAACTGTGGCAGCGAGGTCATTGTTTAAAAACTGGCACAGTTCCAAAGTATCCTGAGGTTTGGCCTGGTGGAAAAAGGAAAGGGAAAAATCATACTGTTGAAAACATAGTTCTTTAGGCATTTCCTCTGAAAACCTCTTGGATAAAATACTTGTCTTTCTCAATGGCTTTACTATTCAGGAAACCAAGGCACAGCTTGAGGAAGACAAGACACAATCTTTTGTTAAAAAGCAAAGAAACCTACCAATATATTACTGGTTAATTAGAAAAAAGTTGAGGCAAAATCTATCATGCTAATTACTAGAACATTCCATTCTAGAAATAGAATGCGGATGAATCTCCAGTGAGGAGACTGGCTCTGGCCCAGAGTCTGATGCCACAATCAAGGCACTTTCTTGCCCCTCCTGTTCAAGAGATACCCGGCCTATGTAGGGGCCTCGCCTTCCTTGCTTGACCTTTTCCCCATCCTTTCTGTTGGCTGTGGCTCTCAGGGGTAGTCTTAGCAAAACACAGAGCCAGATGAAGTTTGGTTTTTCATTCTTCTAACTCTGTTCTTCACTGTTTTCTTCCTGTCAACATCACCCTACTGCTAGGAATTTGGAATCCAAGTTGTTTGGTCAAAGTGATTTGATAAGTTCAGGCACACTGAAGTTTTAAGTAGTGAATTTAATCATAAGAACAGAGAAAGACTGAATCTCTAATTAGTGAATCTATGAATACAGGTGGGGGAAATGTATGTGAGTGGCTGGTTTTTCATTACTTCTTAAATCACAACAGGAGTAAGTTTGTATGAATTTCATGCACCCTCAGATCTGTAAAAATATTTCTTCCACAGGCTGAAAAATCATGAATATTTGAGATTTATTCACATCTAGAAAGATATCCAACTCTAAAACACCCCCCTTTAAATTGTATATTTATCTGGAAGAGGCAACATATTAGACCAAAACATCTCAATTCAAACCAGTTCTACCTTGGAATAAATTGGCTTGTCAGTTCCCCATCAAGGTATTTGAGGAACGAGACACCAGGTAGGTAAGTTCTAGTTAAGGCCGAGTCTAGAGTTGTACTGTCCAACTATAATGCAAGTAGCATAGTGACATATTGGGTACTCTATTAGATCAAGGGCATGGCTAAGATAGCAAGCCTGGGAGAGGATAGTGCTGATCTGTAAAGGCGAGGGCGGTTTGGGAGAGGGCAAGGGCTCGATCCACCTGTTGGGCAGCTGGACCTGAGCCTCCACTACCAAGGAGATGGCTTGAGGTTTCACACTCACCCAGTAGCTAAACATGATGGGAACCGTGGACAGAGCTTGTACTGTCACCCCTAGATACAAAGAAAGGCAAAGCTGGTGAGAAGAGCCCAGGCACCCCTTCTGCCTTTCTCAGGGCCAAGAGGCCAGCATGCTCCCACCGTAGCCACCACCTGCCCACCCTCCCTTGTTATTTCTCTCCGTGTTCCTTGTCTCAGGCCCTCTCCCAGGCCCCCCTCATCCCTCAGCCTCAGGTATTTGGGAGAGAGGTAAGAGGTGGACAAAACTGAGATCCTTGAAGAAAAACAAGCTGATACCATTTACCAAGGATTTCTTCCATCCTTTTGCCCGTGAAACTTTATTTAAGCAATGCATTTCTTTTTACCACCTGCCCCCCGAGTTTTCTGCCTTAGTTCATGCAGGACACAGTATATTTATTTCTTAGCCCCCTCCTCTACCCCTTTTCAGTCTCTAAATCAGTCTGGATGGAGTCTCATGTTCTGGAATATCCAAAATGGGATCCTGAATTTGGATTCAGAAATACAGAATATAGGATATCAAGAATCTCTTGTTTTTAGGAGAATCTACCTCCTGGAATTGTTGTAAAGATTAAATAAATTAATGTATGGTGAATACTTACAGCAGCACATAGCACAAATTCAGTGCTCAGTAAGAATTAGTCATGACTGTTGTCTCAAGGACAGCCATGGAATTAAACACAGAACAACAACCAAAGGAAATTCATGTACTTCATCTACACTGTAAGCCATCAATAATGATATCTGACACCAGTCAGCCAAATTTCACTTCTACCGCTTTTTTCTTTTAAAAAGTGGGCCCTCTTCTTACTTTGCATTGAAAGCAAAACCTTGCTTTTTACTGTAAATCTAGAAAACATGTTTTTCTCCAGCTTCCCTCTCATCCCAATATTCTCTTACAGTAGGGTGTACACACTACATTCTCTGGAGTAGTCTACAGATGTACTTCAGGCTTTCTTCATAGTTTTATCTGAGTGTCATTTGGACATGTTTTTAATTGTTAAAAATATGTAAAGCAATTCCTGGATAAAAGTTTCCTATGCCATTCTAACACTCCAAAGCACTTACACACTTTGGGCTGCTAGGGTTGATTCCTTTTTTTTTTTTCTTTGCAGACCTTGGGATAAAATTAAAGTCTCCTGCCAGTTATTTACATTTATCTGACCTTATAAGTTTGTTTTTGACTCTATATATGGATTGCTTGTTTTGATTCAAATCTAGACGACTGATGTGAAAATTTGGCTTGACAGTGTTGGTGGTGCCAAGTTCTCCACAACAGCCTGGAGGCACTGCTGACTTGTGTTTGGAAGGCTTGACTTATTTCTTTAGAGAGTGCTCTCTTTGGGTGGCACAGCAGTGAGTGATAGTATAACACAGGTGTAATATCATGTTTTAGTGATTGAGGTTCTTTTATATTGTGAGGACTTGTTTGATTTTTTAGATATTAGATAAGGATGAAAACAATGCTGAGATTCCACCTCACCCTCATGGCTGCTATCAAGAAATCAACCAATAACAAATGTTGGTGGGGTTGTGGGGAAAAAGGAACCCTTCTCCATTGTTGGTGGGAGTGCAGACTGGTGCAACCACTATGGAAATCAATATGGAGATACCTCAAAGAGCTGGGACTAGAGTTTCTATTTGACCCAGCCATCGCTCTGCTGGGTATCTTTCCAAAAGAATTAAAAGAATCATATCACAGTGATATATGCACACCTGTGCTTATAGCAGCACAGTTTGTAATAGCTAAAATTTGGAAACAGCCCATTTGACCATCAGTTGGAGACTGGATAAAGAGATGTGTTTTTTCTATAAAATGGAATACTACTCAACCATAAAGAATGAGAAATTAGAGTCATTCATAGGAAAATAGATGCATATTGAGGATATACTCCTAAGTGAAATAAATAAGTCACACATGTGTAAATACTGAATAGTTTCTCTGGTGTGAATAAACTATAACAGTACATAAGATCCTAATGATATAATTGATAATGTGAAATAGGAAGAAAAGGGCTAAGGTATAGGGGAAGTGGGAAGGGTAGGGGAAAGGGAAAGAGAAAGGGAAAAGAAAAAAATATGAGAAAATGAAAAAATGGAAATAAAGTGTTTATAAATGGGGAGGGGCAGAGGGGTTGAAGGGAGGGCAGGGACAAGGGGAAAAATGAGAACCAAGACCTGTCATGTGAAGGTACAGGATCCCAATGATGAATGTAACTGTACTGTGTACCTAAAATGTACCAATAAACTCAATGAGAGAAAAAACAAGATAAGGAATACATGCAGTTCTTAGAAATTGTTAGAAATTCAGCTTTGAAAGAAAAATTTCTTAATTTTGTTTTTTCTGGGTTTTCACCACAAGAGTATTCTGAGATTATCCAGTTGACTTTAAATTTTAAAAATCTCATTCCACTTCCACCTTTATGTACTAATGGATGCATTCTGTGTATTAGTTCACCAAGACAAACTACAGAAAGTGAATCTCAAGTCTGACTAAACAAGACATTGGAATGGATCCTTAATCTATGATATCTAATTTTACTGTTTTAATTGGTTTTCTGATAAGTTGCTGTTGTACATTTGAGCTAAAAAAGACTTTAAATAATAAAATACCTGTAGTAAATTTTTGGTCATATACCACTTTGTTTTTAAACAAGGTGTAATTAATTGTGATGTGTTAATCTGACTTGAATAAGAACACTCTCCATTAGTAAATCTGTGCCCCCACCCTGTGTATGTGTAGATGTGGGTGTCACCAAGCAGTAAGCTTGTAGCCTGAACAAAATAAAAAGGGAACAAAGAAGGAAGTTTTCCCTTTTTCTTCTTTGAAGGAGCTCTGGTCTTTGCCTTGCCATTTGTCTCCTGTTCCTTCAGCGTTCCAGTTCAGACCTCTTTGGCTTTCTGATAGTACTTGCACTGGACCTTGCAGTGAGCTCCAGGCCGTTGACCTTCAGCTGGATCCTCTGGCTGTCCAACATGCAGATAGCCATTTTGCATTCTTCTACCCCTGATTCTGCAGGTGGCCATTGTAAGCCTACCTAGAAAATCCTTTTTTTAAAATCTCATTGAGTTTATTGGTACTTTTTAAGCATACAGTACAGTTACATTCATCATTGGCAAATCCTCTACCTAACCACATTAAATTTATTCCTCTAGTGAACTGTACCTGATGCAGATGTTGATACCAGGAATGGGATGAGGGAGGCTTCCATCCAGATTTCAGAGGAAGGCCTTGGAGGCCAGACAGTGTGCCCCTGAGAGGGCAGTATGTGAAGTTGTGAGCGTAAAGCCAAAAGTTCAGTAGAGACCCTGAAAAGTCAGAAAAGCCAGGGAAATGGAGCATCTGAGGAAAGCTGCATAGAAGGAACAAAGTCAACCCAAGAGAAAAGCCATAAGGTCTGCAACCATGGGTAATGCTGCAGAGGCACAGTAGCACAAGCCCTTTGTAGTCCACAGCTCACTGCAGCTTACCCTGAGTGCTGGACACAGAGCTACAGGATTTAATATTTGCCCTCCTCGGTTTCAGTATTTCTTTGGCACCACTGGTTTTTATCCCCCTATTCCTTCCTTTTGGAATTGGAATGTTTACCCCGTTCCATTGTATGTTGGAGGTGTTTAACTTTTCTTTTTTCTTTTTATAGGCAATCACAGCTAACAGTTTGCCTTGAGTCTCAGAGGGCACTTTCTTTGGACTTGAACTTTTCAGCAATGCTGAAACTGTTAGGACTCTGCCAATTCTCAGAGATGGACTAAATACATTTTGCAGAAAGAAATGTGCATGAGTCTTTGGGGGGATCAGGGGTGAAAGGGTATGGTTTCTAGATGTTACCCTAAAGCCTCATATGATCATAAGCAGGGCTTTTCGTGAGGTGATTGGATCATGGTGCACTATACTCATTGGTGGATTAATTCACTGATGAGTTTATAGCTAAATGTGCTGTTAGGTGGTGGGGCCTGGTGAAAAGTGGTGAGTTACAGGGGGCATGGCCTGGAAGGTATGATTCCCTTCTCTGGTTCTCCTTTTGCTCTCTCTGTTTCCCTGCTACCAAGATGTGAGGTGCTTTTCTCCACCGTGACCATTTGCCGTGCTGTCATGCCCTTGGAGCCACCTGACCATGGCCTCTAAATATGAGCCAAAATAAACCTTTCTTTTAAGTTGTGGGTGTCAAGTATTGTCTTAGCAATAAGAAAGCCACTAAGACACAGGGTACAAGGAATCTTAAAGCATTAAAAATCCATAATCTAAAGTACTGTAATAGAAAGTCCCTCCTTCCCCTAGTACATCTGTATAGCTGTACCTGACAGAGAAAAGGCAACTGGAAATTGGCATCAAGTAAATCATGACAAATGGTAAACAAATTTTAAAGGTAGACATTGCTTTTACATCTGATATAAACCTGGTAGCACTTCTTACTGCAAATACCTTTCTGATTCATTTCTCTAATCCGAATTTCTGGATCCCAGCAGTTCTCTTGGACCACTCTGAAGACTTTCCCATCTTTTACCATCTTTGCTTCTCCCTGGCAAGAAAACTCGTATTAGTAAAAGGTCATCTAAATCTACTTGGGGTAATCTTTCTTTGTGTGCTTTGAAACATGTTTCTCCTCTAACATTTTTAGAAATTTCCTTTTTACTTAATCTACATAGACCTAGAAAGCTACTGATTTAATGGAATTCAACTTTTCCTCCTCATGCCTTTCTTTAGTCTGGAGTTGATACATTGTGCTCTGTGGATGTCAGTGACTGGACAGAAAGTTAAGAATGTTATGGTCATAACTTTTCTGGCCTGCCTGACCAAGGATGGATGATCCCTTTGATGAAGTGAACCATTGGTTGTAAGATCCAAGAGAATGGTCCATGGTCGAGAAAGTTTTAATTCTATAACATTTTAGAATTGGAAAGAACCCTTGAGATAGATCATTGTCTAACCCTCTTCTTCAGAAGCAACATATGGAGAGTAAAAGTAAGTGGTTTGTTCAGCAGAGTAAGGCCCACTGATGTCAACACATATAGGAGGAGGGGGAGATGAAGTGAGTCAGACTGAAAGCATGTACAGAATTTGGTGCTGAGCTGCTCACTTCCACCAGGCATCATGCCTGCCTAAGTATTCTACCTCTTAAAAAGTTGTGTATATAACATTTTATATATTTTGGTTTATAGCATGATATTTTAACATATGTATGCTTTGTAGAATAGCTGAATAAAATTAACATATCAATTTTTTTGAAATAAGAATACTTAAAAATCTATTAGTAATTTTCAAGTATGTAATACATCATTGTGAACTATAGTCCCCATGTAGTACAATAGATGTTTTGAACTTATTTCTTCTAATTGAAATTTTATATCCTTTGATGTTTTCCTCAGTGTCTTCTCTTCTCCCACCCCACCCCTGTCCAGTCCCTGGTAACCACCATTTTGCTAGCTGCTTTTGAGTTTGACTTTCTTTAGATCTACATATAAGTTCATGTTGTATTTGTCTTTTTGTGCCTGGCTTATTTTACTTAACATAGTAAGCTCCAGGTTTATTAAGGATGCTATTGCAAATGATGGGACTGATTAGATTTCCTATTTTTCCCCCCATCTTGGGAAAGGAACTCAGGACCTTGTGCTTGCCAGGCAGGTGCAGTGCCTCTGAGCTAAATCCCTGGTCCTCCTTTTTCTTTTTTTTTTTTTTAAAGGTGAACACTTGCAATTAACAGGAGAGAGAAATTTCTCTTCAATATACTGATTTCATTTCCTTTGGATATATACTTAGAAGAGCAATTGCTGCTCATATGGTAAATACACACACACATGTTTTGTTTTTGTTTTTGGTACATGGGATCGAACTCAGGAATTTGTGCTTGCAAAGCAGGCAGTGGAACCACTGAGCTAAATCCCCGGCCCCTATCTATTTAATGTTTTTTAGGAAATCATTTGACCATATCAACAGGTGCAGAAAAAACACTTGACAAATTTCAACAACCATTCATGATAAAAATTTTCAGTAGGTGTGATATAGTGTATGCATCTCAACATAATAAAGTTCATGAATTACAATCCCACAGCTAAAGCCATACTTGATGAAAAGTTGAAAGCTTCTCTTTTAAGGTTAGAAACAAGATAAGGTTGCTAAGTTTTGCTACTTCTATTCAACATAGTACTAAAGCTTTTAGCTAAAACAATTAGTCAAGAAAAAAATTAAAAAGTATGTAGTTGGAAAGGAGCAAGAAAAATTGTCTTTATTGTAGGAGATGAGGAAACCCTAAGGATTCTACAAAATACAATTATAACTAATAAAAGAATTAAATAAAGTTGCAAGATATAGTATCAGCACAAAGATTGGTAGCAGTTGGATTGATTTGCGTCATTTGTGATACTCTGTTAAACATGCCAGCATCTGAACCAGTTTCCTAGGTTGGGAAGTCTCCTGAAGGGCCCAGGGTCCCTCTACTAAGACCTACCAACCCAAATAAATGTTATTTTTGCCTCAAATTTGGCTAGTCAACACTTGGTTTTGAAACAAGAGCAAAAAAACAGGACAGGTGAATTTATTTTGCCAGTGATCTTGCGAGTGCCATGTCCAGGGTCCATTAGCAGCGATGGCAGTGTTGAGAGTCGTCCTGTAGGGGTCAGTAGTGCTCCAGTCAGGCTCTTGTGGGGCAGCCGTGGCTGGTGACTTCAATTCCCTTGTTCACTTCAGTTTCTGCACATTTTATGAGCTCGGTGCCCTGGGCATTTTGTGAAATTTGAGAGACTTAAAATAATTTCAACAAATTTTGTTTCTTCTGAAACTAATTGTTATTGGTTTCTGTTGGTTGTGACCAAGCGTCTGATCCCACAAATAGAAAACAGCAACACACGTTTTTGCATTTGTCAAAGAGAGTTAAGAACAGTGATGGTGGAAAAGAGAAAGTTGGGAAACACACTTTCATTTGACAAATTGGAGGTTTTCTTTTGCTCTTTACTGGCATGTGCCCTAAGCGCTGCTGGAGAGACCCATTTGTGGCTTTGGTTTGGTCCTACTAGACAAAGGTATTGTGTGAGATGCCTAAGTACTGATTTCAGATAAAGCAGATCATATTAAATCCTGTATATGATCAGTTCAACTCTTGCATTTTAGCAGAGTCCATGTTATACAGTGACTTGTCCAAGGCTATATATTGGAAGCCATTTTTAACTCTGCTAGGCTGATATTTGGCAATTATAAGTGTATCTGGTAGGCGAAAGTTAACTATGATTTCGTAAGGAGTTTGACTTTTTATTTTGAAGGGGAAGCTGCTTTCATTACACAGTAGAAGAATCGGATTAGATAAACTTCTCTTTGCATTTTGAAGTTGACAGTATGGTAAGAAAAATGAGTAGGAGCAGCTGTCAGTGGAACTTAGTGAAAAATTTCCATTGAGCAGTTATGGCCTATAATAGACCCCCTACAATTCTCATTGTTTTTTCAGCCACATAGCTTTTAAAGCTATCACCTTCAAATACTGTCATATTGCAGGTTTAGAGCTTCGAATATATGAACTGTGGTGGGGGTATATTTAGTTCATTATGATGGAGAGTCAGACAGAATTATATGTGTAAAAATGCTGAATATCATGTAAACATCTGTGTGTGAGGTATGTGTATATGTGTGTTTGTGTCTCTAAGGTCATGGGAAATACTCTGTGGACATTTTTGGCTGCTGTTGACCTATAGATTTGAAATGGGCTCTATGTCTACTCTTCTAAGTTGTAGCCTTTAAAATGCTTCTAGGTGTTTTTGCTTTTGGGGAGCAATTCCACAAACACCCAACCCCTTGGCAGCTCTTGGTAGGTTGTCACATTAACCAAGAACTGGCTTGCTGCTAGTATTTTTTTTTTCTTTTTTGTACTGGGGATCAAATTTAGGACCTTGCACTTGCAAGGCAGGCAGTGGCACCACTGAGCTAAATGCCTGGCCCTGCTCCTAGTATTTTTGTAGATGTTCAACCAACAGATAAGTGGTATTTTACAATTCTGATCAAGGCTCTATTATGGCAATCAACTATCTCCATATTCATTCCAAAAGCACTGAAAACCCAAATGTTTAAAAAAAAATAGATCAAACCAGAGAAATGGTTTGAAAAAACATCTTTCAGAGAATCTCTAAGGTAAACTAATCATTACAGAAGATATTTGTTCAGTAAAAGAATGCAGGAGAATGCAAAGAATTTTAAAACCCCAAATTTTGGGTCATCTCATTGTTTCTGGTCAATTTGCATAACAGTACATATTTGCTTGTGGTTTTCTAGTGACTGTAATTCCTGAACACTGTAATTATGAAAAGTACAGATTTGGGTGTGTTTTGTTTTGCTTAGCTTTACAAGAGAGTGGGAAAGAAAGTGTTTTGTTCTATTAGACTACCATTGTAATCAGTTTTGCTGGAGATAAGTAAATCAGTAAGTGTGACTGGAAATTATTTTTCTTTTTGTTTGCTTTTGGAGATTTTCCGTTAAGTTTATGATATATCTTGACATTAAATGAAATGAAGGCCATTCATATCCACTATTGAGGGACAAACTTTGGCCTGATATATGAAGTAAGAAAAAAATCAGAGGCCACCTGTTTCTGCAATTGGAGTTTTCTGATAGATTTGTAGTCAGTTCCACACCTAATGTACTTTTCCTTGCAGAGTCTTGAGGCCAACTGAAAAAATGAGCTCTCTGCTTAGAAACTAACACTGGGACTGTAAGAAGCTGGCACTTTAAAGTATACTCTTGGAGAAGATGTAGATGAGCTTTTCCCAAGATTCTGATGTTTAAAACTCTTTAGTGATTCCCTATTGCCTTCAGGATCAAGTACAAAAGCAAAATTTCTTTTGGGCCTAAACTCCTAAATCCTTCAATTCCCTTCCTTATGCTCACCTCCTTGGCTCCTTTCCACTTTTTCTTATCCAAACTCTTGCCTGCCTTTGTCCATTCTACACAGAGAAAACTGGTCATTTAAAACCATAAAAACCTGCCAAAGAATTCACATTGCTTAGAGATTACAATCCGGACTCCCATCATGTCCTGCAAATCTTTATGTAGTTGGATCCATTTCCTACCCTCTCCCCACTCAGTGCATTTCATCCACATTGCTCTCCTTTCTTGTGCCTTGAACAAATTGACTCTTTGCTTCTTGGATGTCTTTGCAAACTGGCTGTTCCCTCAGTCAGGAACATTTTCAAGATTTTCCCTGCTTGTCATCCATGAATTTGCCATATCAGTGACCAAACAGCCTGTTAACTCTCTGTAGCAGAACTGTTTTATATTCCATTGCTTGAATTAATCATTGACTTGTGTTCCACCTAGAATTTGAGCACTATGAAGGTAGAAACAATCACTCTGTTGTTTATCAGAATATTGCTAGTGTCTAGATGGGTGGACCTGGTGCAAAACAGATTTCATTAAAAACGAATGAGTGGATGAATGTGCCATGAGTTCTTGTATTTAAGCTTGTTAAAACAGATGGTCTGGGGTATGGCCCTCAAATCTGCATTTCTCCTAACTTCCCAGGTGATACTGAGCTTACAGGGACCACAGTTTGAGAAATGCTAGTGCCAGCCATAGCTGGGTGCCTGAGTTCTGGGGTCACATATAGTTAGTATTTCTATGCTTTTGTTCCCTGTCTTACTTTTTTGGAATACTGTTTTCTTTACTTCTTGGGCAAGAAGTAGAGCCCTGCTTTAAGACCCAAAATAGGCATTACTTCCTCCAGGAGATCTTTTCTAATTTTTTTTTTTTTTTTTTTAGACAGGGTCTTACTATGTAATTGAAACTGACCTGGAACTCACTGTGTAGCCCAGGCTGGTCTCAAACTCACAGCAATCCTCCTGCCTCACCTCCTGAGTGTTGGGATTACAGGTGTGTGCCATCACGTCTGGCAATCTTTTGTAATTCTTGAGGCTCAAGACTTTGCTTCTTAGTGCGTAGTAAAAAGGCAGTTCTCACCTCATTCTAACCTTACAACTACATTGGGTTAATCTTGCACATAACTCTTTTCCCAGACCACAAGTCCTCCAGGGCCTACCTTAGTCATGTCTATATTTCAGCTAGAAGCTCAAGAATGTTCCTTTGAATTCCAAGAGGATTCTCTGAAAACAAAGCCAAACTTGAACTCTGTACAGTTCTAGATTCCCAGCTCACTTATTAGAGTTCATTATTTGCAGAATGCTTTGCTCCAGTGCCTTCCTCTTCAATATCAGAATCAGCCAGATTAACAGTGGCTTTCCCCTTTTGTCTTAGTATTTGATTTCTCCAGCTTGTGCTCAGACCTAATTGTTCCATTTATTTTATCAGCCTTAGTACACTGTAATGACCTGTGCAGACGGCCAGGTCAGTTCCTCATTGCAGAGAAATAAATGCTGAAGTTGGTCCCAGGGCAGGAGAAGAAAAAGACTTCTTAATGGATTCTCAAATACTGATTTTTTGATTCCTAAAAGCTGCTCTTTGAAGCTTCTCCCCACTTTTCCTAATAATTCTGAGCAATGCTGCTCCCTTGCCAACGACACAGTTAATGCAGCACAGAAGAGTTACGTTCCCCTGAGGTGCACTCTGCAGTAAATAAAATATCTCAAAGTTCAAGATGTCCTCGGGTCCCATTCATGCTCACATTATGGAAGAAACTTACCTTGCTGTGGTGTTGAAGCTTCACCCAGCCTCCATAGCCGAATCTCTGCAGTGGAGAGATACACAGTTAGACTTACGGGGCAAAGAAGAAAAGGCTGTACTAAATGGGTCTCTTCAGGGAAAAGGATCTTTTTAGGCATCCATCCCATCTTTTCAGGTATCATCCTCCCATTTGTCCCCTAGAGCCACATGTGCTTATTCAGTATTTACACTTAAATCAATTTACTCCTTTGCATGTACACATACAAAAATATATTCATAATTATATATTTATAAATGTATATATTTATGCAAAAAGCACATTCTGCATATCAGAAGTGCCAGTTTCATCTCTACTTCTACAGTTTAAGGTGAAGATTAGTATTAAGATACATTTGTTTATGTATCACCTATAATCATTACACAGGCCACCATGAGAATACAGAACTTAAGAATCACTCTCTAGGAACAAATACCGCTTTTCAAACTGTGGGTTGCAATCCATGAGTACATCATGAAATTAATTGAGGGGATAGGGACCTAGACATTTTAGAAACATGAAATGGTTTGAGTAGTGGATCCTGCTACTGTCCTAATCGTACTTCTTCCCCTTAATGCTTCAGGACGTACCAGCCGACCTCTACCTGCCAGCATCTACTTTTGAGGGCTTCCCTTACATTCCTGGAAACTTCTTTGATCAAATCCTTCTAGATGAGAAATACCAGGAAATTAGTCTTCCCTCTCCACCTGCCCAGCAGCCCTCAACCAATGACTGAGGTAATTTGTATACAAATTTACAGATACACTGGTATCAGACTCCTGGGCAGGATAACTCAGGCAAGGGTTAATTCCATTCTACACTAGAGAACAAACTTTTTAGTGACTGTCTTGCTCTCCTTGCCTCACTTCTCCACTCACTGGCATTTCCTTGGGTCACTTCCAAAGGAGGATTCCTTTACTCACATTAAAGTCCTTGTCTCAGTCTTCTTAGAAAATGCAAACTAAGATCAGCAAAAAATGGAAAGCAATAAAATAGAATTAGGATAGAATAGGATAGAATGAAATAGAATGGAAAGTCTTTCATGTAACATTAGTTTCACAAACATTTTTTGCTCTCTCTCTCTCTCTCTCTATATATATATCTATATCTATCTATCTATCTATATATATATATACACTAAATCATAATATAAATATATTTCTGGGAGTATTGGATAAAAATTTCTGAAAGCCTAAGAACATATTATCTATTGTTCATATAACTTCAGGTTTTAAAATATCATTTCATTCATCCCTTCATTCATTCCCCAAGCCCTCATGCAGTCTCACCTGTGAAAATCCTTCCTAGGACAGGGAAAATAAAAGTGAAGGACAGTTCCAGGTTGTTTGGGGCAGAGTCTGTTGAGCCCGGGATTGTGATGGACAAACAATGCAAGAGCTGTCTGGTGAGTAAGACCTGCTGTTATACAGTTCTGCAGAAGATCTGTGGAAACCTGGTAGAGGGAGCTGATCCATACCTTGGGTCACAGGAGGAAGGTTGAAAATGGAATCTGGGGTCATATTGGAGAGGAGCTCATGTTCCGGATTTCTATGTCCTAAGGCATGGCTCTCAGAGCATGATGTAAGGAGGGAAGGTGTGGCAGCAGGAAACACCCAGGAGTTCATCACTAGCTCCTGAACTATCAGCAATAGAAGTCAATGATTTAAGTAAGTTGAATTTCCGCACCATTTCTCACTTATAATTGGATGAGGCCCGGAGACAGTGGTCGGTTCTGTCACGGTGCAGGGATGTTGTCTAGAGGAAGACAGGTCTTGGCAAACTGTCCTTCCTAGCTTCCTTCTTACCTCCAGGCTAAATGGGAAAGTCTGGATCTGGACCACAGCGTGATATAGGGGTATTTGTCTGTGTCTGTGACTGGAATCTGCCTCCACAGGCTTTTAAAATGCATATTAGTTCTATTTCAATTTTAGTTTATCTACATATAAGATCTATCTTTGAGTTCTATCTTGAAATAGTATTAGCTATAGAAATCTATGTGTTTTCTGCCTAGGGACATTTGCAGACTCTGTTTAATGACTGGGCATGCAAACTGCCAACCATGGCCAGTTCTTCCTACATCCACCTTCTCCTTTAGCCAGTGCCCTGACCCTTTACTATCACCTCTTTATGCGTCCAAACCCCGTGCTTAGCTCTTCTATTCCCCTGGAAATGCTACCAAGAGACAAATGTTGAAGGAAGGGGTGGAAAATGACCTTAAGTTACATTGTAGAGTAAATTTGAGAATAACAGTATGCTCTCAAGTTGGAAATTTGCTATTAGAATATTATAGTTAGTATAGAAGAAAAGGTTTTATTTCCTTCTCTCCTCCTCTCCTATTTTCTTATTTATTCCCCTGTTCCTTTCTTCCTCACTTTTTTACTGTTTCTTAATTCTGTAAATGACTTTGTCATACGGGAAGAATTCTATTTGGGGAAGGGCAGGGAGATAGAGGGAGGAAGAACAGAGGTGTCCTACCACATGCAAAAAGCACGTTTAAGGATCTTGGCTTTGTTGGAGTAACTTAACATCTTCAGTGGTTTTGCCACCTGCCTTGCAAGCACAAGGTCCTGAGTCCAATCCCTGGTACCAAAAGAAACCAACAAACCAAACAAACACCAATCTGATAGTATTTTAACTGACAACGACCAGTATCCCATAAGCATTTATAGCATGACTAATAAAAAGCAAATTAAAAAAATTCAATGGAATTTAGTTTTATATACAGTGTATGTTTCTGGTATGGGTATATATGAATCAGAATGGATGAATTCAATGGCTTTCTTTTTGTTAGCATTAGATTTATTTATTTATATACTTATTTTTGACAAAGTCTAGGTATGTTGCCCAGGATGGCCCCAAACTCTTGGGCTCAGTTGATCCTCCTGCCTTAGCCTCCTGAGTAGCTGGGACAACAGATGCCTGCCACTGTGCCCAGCTCCTGAATGTTTTCAGTGTCCTTGGGACCTCACACAAGGTGACTCATGAACCTCTTGGGTGATAAAATCAGATATCTATATCCTCAGAGCAGTTGTTGAAAAGTCAAACTATGTCTGAGATTTTTGTCTCTGAAAAATCTTACCTTAGACAGTACAACTAAACCATTGCTAATGAAAAGAGATTTAAATATATGCTTTTAAATTAAAGGTCAGAAGGCTGGGGATTTAGCTTAGTGGTTCTCTTGCCTGCCTTGCAAGCACAAGGACCCGAGTTTGATCCCTGGAACCAAAAAATAAATAAATAAATAAATAAATAAATAAATAAAAGAATTTTTTTTACCTCATTTAAAATTGAAAAAGTTTAAGCCCTGCTATGGGCCACATAGTAGGGGGTCAGTGAAGCCTTGCTTAAAAAAAGGCAAAAACCTTACCATTATTATGATTGGTTTCATTGCAGATCAGGCTCAGACATTTTTCATATGGCTCCTTGGGCCAGAATTCTCATATTTGTGACAGCAGGGAGTGTGGGTCCTGATTTATTAGAAGCCATTTAATTAAGTTTGCCCAAATCTGCTATCCATCTCAGATAAATTTTTTAGAAAGGACCCTGAGTGTAACTTTGACTAAATCATCATTAGTAAGTGAAAATGAAACATTTCTCAAATTTCAGCCCTTTGTAACCTTTAGTTAATCATTAGCCCAGGTGTGTTGATTCTGCTTTTTAGTTCTTTATTGCACAAGAGGGTCAACATTGTGCATGTGTCTCTATTAATATTTAAGAAAGAATGACAAGTTTGAAAGAAGTCATTACTTCTTCCAAAGGGACTTCATCTCATCGGATAAAAATAGTACTGGCTTATTCTTTTCCTTCTTTTATTGGAAAGTTTTTGAAAAAAAATGATGAGAAAATGTTCTTTAAGCTGTTTAAGTGAGACTGATCTTCTAACTATTTTCTTGACTAAGAAACATTTTGAAGTAAAAAAAAAAATGCTATTGTCAATGTCACTTTAATATTCACTCTACTGACCATACAGATTAGAAATGAAAGCACTAGCAGATAGATCTCAGCCCCATTAGATACATTTCACTCATCCAATTTGGAAAATATGGCTGGTTTTGGCTAGTTGATTCATCACTGGCTGACCAGCGCTCAAAAGGAAACCTCTATCATAAAAGAGATCCGGTTGTTTTAATTGTAGGTTGGAATCCAGGTACCGGTGTAAGTCTTGGCAGGCTTACAAGAATGTGAAGAGTTGGGGGCAGGCTGGTATCAAGAAGGGCATCAGAAAGCAGAAAGAAGCATGGATATCCCTTACAGCAGTAATATGCTCCCTGGTTGCTTTTCTCAAGGTGGATAGGGTGAGGGTTGTGGTGCTCTGCAGGAAACACTGTAGTCCTGTATAGCTCCAGGAATATTTTCTGAATATCAAGCACTTTATTTGTCAAGCAGGTTAATAATATAAATAAAATCTTCATTTAAATATATATATAAAATAAATGTAAATAAATAAATAAATAAAATGTTTAAATAAATAAATAAAATGTTTGCACACTTCAGCAGTTCTCTGTACTAATAAATGAAATGTCCAGACGCTAAAGGCTACCACTTTGAGCACCTCTTGTAATTGTAGAGGCCAAAGGTAACTTGTATTAATCTCATGATACCTCAATAAATTTAGTATTATAATATTTATGCAGTTTTTCCTGCGGACTATATAGCCTTAAAAGTTCAAAATATTGTCACTAGTATCATTGTAAAAATGTATTATCTCATTTGCTTGTAGCATGGGAGACTGCTGGGTAGGCAATCCCTGATTATTGCAATAAAATGCTGCTCCATCTTTCAAGGCATTAAAGCTTGCTTGATAGGAAGGGGAGGCAGTACAAAGTAGCAGCAGGACAAATGTTTGGGAGTTTTCCAGGGCACAAATCTATGTACCCCACTGTCCTTTATCCCTCAATTTTCTAAGTAGTTTAAAAAGTTTCTTTAGGGTCCTTGCATAAAATACAGCAACTAGAAGTCGTCAGTTTTAGGCGGCTAGTTCTCTACTGAAAAAGAGGCAGTCTTCAGGGTGGTGATGGGCAGCTAATGGGAGGTGATGTTTTGGCATTGGCTACTACTGATGAAAAGCTTTCCCCTCCCTGCAAAGAGGGTGCATAATTTTAGGCTCCTGTGGGTTTTCTTACTGGAAAAAGATGAGGGTGATTTATACTTGCGATTTACTTATGAACAGCTTCCAATGTTCAGAGGGAACATCTCACTGGGGCCTAGGTTTAGTAGGAAGATGATCATTCTTCTCCAGGATGCTGGAGAGTTTTGGGGGAAAAACAATGAGATTTGGTTTAAATCAGTTTGGGAGTTTCTGAAGTGTGATGTTAAGTCCATTTTTCATCCTAAGAATGCGACAAAAGTGGATAGAACAGCCAGGTTCTTTGTACAATGTGGCTTATGCCTGACTATGAGAGGAACTGAAATTTCCTTGCTGTAGTGATGAAAGCATCTCAACTACGACTGACTTGCTCTCTATGTTAGTCCATTTGGGCTGCTTTAATAAAATACCATCAACTGGTAGCTTATATATAACAAACATTAATTTCTTATAGTTCTGAGTGCTGGAAGTCCAAGATCAAGGCTGTCGTGTCTGGTTCCTGATTCATAGAATGGCCCTTCCTTGCTGAGTACTCATATAGTAGAAAGAGCAAACAAATATCCTTGGGCCTATTTTATAAGGTTACTATCCCATTCCCAAGGCCTGTTTTTTCATGACCTAATTGCTTCTTGAGGATTCCATTTCTGAGTACTACTGCCTTGGTAGATGAGAATTTCAACATATGAATTTTGGGTTTACAAAGATTCAGACCATGGCCCTCTTTAAACATCAAAATCCTTATCTAGACAAGGAGGTCAATGCTATCAAGCTTGATGCTCTGACACCCTCTAGGTGGCTGGGTCAGGCTGTCTTTTAGAGGAGGTTACAGGTGTACAGTGTCCTTTAGAGACCGCCATGGGAGCTTCCAAAGCATTTAGTGTAGGTGTTCTTTGATATTCAAATAAAGAGAAAAGTTGTAATGCTGGAGTTAACAGTTTGTGCTGAGGATAGATCAACATGTTCCCATGTAAACAGTTAGACTTCGTGTATGTGTGTGTGCATGCATGTGCACACATGTAGGTCAATAGGGTTCTTTTTACTACTAGCTTTAATAGGATAGGATTTCCAAGAAGGTTCAACATCATTTGCATGTTTCAATCTATAATTTCTACCCCCATTTTACCTAAGATACCAACTAGACAGAGAAACATTTAAGGTTAACATTCTTGTAGGAGACAACTATGGGAGGAAAATAGTTTTCATTTACTAGCACAATTAATTACTTAGCGTTTGGGTTCATTCATCTTCCCATACTTGGGATAAAATAATGAAATATTAGTAGTGATATGAAAGAGTTGAAAGAATGCTAAAGATTGTGTGAAACCTTATACTAAGCTTGAACAAATTTAACCAATTTAAAATTTCCTTCCTCTTTTAGTATTCATTCAAAAGGTCTTACTGACAACAGAGTTTCCATATTTAGAGAAACACAAAGAATACACTTTACAGACACTCATTGTGCAAGACTTCATGCCATTTATTCTAGGGTTTTTTTTTTTTACTACCTACTTCCTATTTCTTCATACCAAGGACGTACAGCTTAAATGTCAAAAAGGAAAGGCTTCAGACAAGTGTCCTAAAATAGATTAAATTTTTTTTTTCACAAAGCTATTTCCTGGTGCTTCTAAAACTTATTTTAAACATTTTGGGGAACAGATATACTTTAGAAATCCTTGAAACCTATCACATTCCATTTTTACTAGCCTTTTAGTTGAAATTATAACTTTAAATTCTGTAATTGATGTGTATCCTTATAGCAGATTCAATGTGTGGTTTAAAAGGAAGTAATCTGTTTGACTTAAATTTTTCAGAAATTTAAGAGAATGCTTTCTTTGAGAGAAAAAAATAGATTTTTGAGAAGGCATTTATTTTTTTTCAAAATAAAGTATAAGCTATTTTTAAGAAGTAGGAAATTAGAACTACCAAAAACAATTTAAAATCACCCCAGAGCAAAGAAACATAACAGCTAATTCCCCAAAGAAGACAAAGGTCTATAAATAGAAACACTGAGAAACCCTAGAGAAGTTCCAGAAATAGTTCAGCAAATTAATTATCATTACCTTTTCTAGATCTGGCCATTCTTTTGGTAGAATATGGCTATGGATGTCAATTTTCATTTCCAGAGGATCAGAGGAGACACGTATTAAAAAAATTGATATCAAGAAATCTCCATGAAAACCATGGAGATAATTGATTTACTCAGGCCCTTTATAGCTACCTTCAGGTATCAGTCAAAGGGCTTGTCTTTGTCCATTGGAACTGCCCTATTAAAGTTCAAAATTCTGTTTATCAACCTGGCTTTGGGTCAAGACTATTTCATAACCAGGACTCAGCACAAAATAAAAAAAAAAAATTGTACTCAACCTCTGAGGTCAAAAGTACAAGCTACTTTGAGTTACTAACAAATCAAAAGTGACTAATTTTGCATTTCAATATTTCAAGTAATCAAAATATGTATAATTTAAAGTCAAATAGTACATGGTTAAAATGAAATAATAAAAAGGGCTTTTAAAGAAAAATGATATATCCTTGACTCACTTGTTGCACTTGGTTTTACTTTTCAGAAACAACCAAGTGTTTTTGCTTTTTTGTTCAATTATTTCCATGTCTTTACATAATTTTTAACAGTTGCTTCATCATGAAAATGTAGCATATTGACCTGGTACTGGAAAAAAAAAATGTAGCAGGTTGAAAAGGTTGTGAAATAAATTTCATCCTTACTTTTATAAAAAGTGCCCACTCTTTCAATATATTTACCTCCATTGCCTTTGTCCCTTACTCATTCATTTGTTCATACATGCATTTAATAAACATTTATTAATAATTATAGTACTGTATACTGGGTATAAGATCAAATGATAAATAAGGTGATAAATAACCTATAATAGATAATTGTACATAGCTTAAGTTTAGGGGGAAGAAGACAGGAGCCATTTTTATTGAGGGTTACCTGTATGGTTAGAGAAGGTTTCCACTGGAACATAATGTAGAGCTCATGGACAGCCACATCTTAGTTCCACATCCTGGAGAAAGTAGTCTTTTATTGCTGTTTTCACCCACTCCTCTTCCTAGAAAGCTTAACATATTCAAGGGACCCCAGGGTCTTTGGTAAATCCTTGAATCTATTTTGAGGTGATTCCTTCTACTCAGTCTCTCAATGACAACAATACAGGGACAATGTAGTAAAAAAGCCCTATTGCTGTGATTTGTTTAGATTATGAAGAAATTATAACAGACATACTTGTGATACTCAGCTCAAAAGAAAATAAAGAACAACCTCAAAATTCCTTTTTAAAAAAGGTCAGTTAGCTAAAATATAATGACTGAAACTGTAACACACAGGCATATGCCAGCACTTTTAGAGCACTTCCTTTGGCAGGCACTGTTCTAACCATTTCAGTCACATCAATTCATTTATTGCCCATATCATTGCTAGGGGGAAGGTGCTATTAACAATATCCATTTTATAGAAGAGGAAAGTGAAGCACAAAGAAGTTATATAATTTATCTGCAGTCATATGATAGTACATGGTAAGTCCTGACTGTGAACCTAGACAGTTTGGCTTCAGCATCTTAGAGATTTGGGGATTAATATCTCCCAGGGAAATGGAAGATCCTCATTTGTAGTTATGCAAAGCTGAAAATCTATCAAGCTAAAATTCTTGAATGTACTAAACCTTATGAAGCAGTAGGCTAGACATAGTAACAAAAACAACATGATGTTGGCACAAAAACAGACATGTAGACCAATGAACTAAAATAGAAGATTCAGAAACAAACCTATTCACCTACAGCTATCTGATTTTTGAAAGAGGGCCTAAAAACCTACACTGGAAAAAAGACAGCCTTTAACAAACAATGCTGGGAAAACTGCAAATGATGCAGAAGATTAAAACTAGATCCCTGTCTCTCATCCTGTACTAAAATAAAAATGGACCAAAAACCTAGATATAAAATCAGAAACTGAAATTTCTGGAAGGTAATATAAGGGAAACGCTTGAAGTTAAAAGCAAAAATGTGGGCCGGGGATTTAGCTCAGTGGTTCGGTGGCCTGCCTTGCAAGTGCAAGGACCTGAGTTCAATCCCCCGTACCAAAAAAAAAAAAAAAAAAAAAAAAAAAAAGAAACGGAAAAAAGCAAAAATGTTTTAAATAGGACTACAAAGCACAAAGAATAATATCAAGAATAAACAAATGAAATTATAATCAAATTATAATTTTCTGCACAGCAAAGGGAAAAATTAACAGAGTGAAGAGACAACCCACTGAGTGGGAGAAAATATTTGCTTCGCACTCTTATGATAGAGAATTAATATCTATAATATATTAACTGAAAAAGTAACGCTCAAAAAACAAGTGGGTTAGTAAAAAAGTAGGCAGATGATATGTATAGACACTTCTCAATGGTAGAAGTACAATGGCCAATAAGTGTATTTAGCCACTAGAGAAATGCAAATCAAAACTATCTGATGTCCAGATGCTGGAATATAGCAATTTGAGGAAGAGAAGAAGCAGGGAAGTCGGTCCCTAGGACCCAAAAAGGATCTGATGTGAGAATGGAAGCCCATGGGGAGAGCAAAGAGAGAGACTTCAATGATGAAGAATGAAGTGGCAAGCAGTATTTTCTTCTTGAGTCCTGACTTGCTGCGTGGGAGGGGTGGCTCAAACCTGCAGACCAGAGTGACTACTGGTGACCCCAGAGCCCTCCATGGAGAAACACACCAGTGGAATGGAGTAGTGGATGGTAGGAACAAGCCTGTGAATTTACCCTGGTGGGGGTGTGTGTGAACAAGAATGAAAGACAAAAGACACAATGATAATTTAGAATGAGGGGCCAGTGGGCTCTTGCCTCTAGTGGATAAAGAGCCCTGAACATTTGGCTCACCTCACTTTTATTCACTTAGACAAGGAAGCAAGCAATAAGGTTAATGAAAGATTCATCTGCCTGTTGTTATCTATAGTGTGTACCAGGTAAATATCCAGATCTTAGCTGTAGAGGCTCTTCTCTGAAACTTACAACATGCCAGCATGTCTGCATGTTACCAAAGGAGGAACAGCTTGCTGTTTTTCTCTTTTGTGCTCACAAAGGAGATCAATTAGGCCTCAGTCCTTATTATCTGGTCTCCTACAGTGGACAGCAGATTGCAGAGGCTGGTGAATTATTTGGGTTCAGATGTCTCCCAGGAGAGGGTAATTGGCCGGTCACCATCTTGGAGAGGGACCAAATGAGCTCAGAACTCAGAGCAGCTGTGGGCTGGCTTCATCTGGCAGCTCTCGGTTTCAGAGTGAGGCAGAACTGAGTTCAAGTTGGCAGGAGATCAAGGAGCTGAGTTCAAGCCATCAGGGATCTGAATTCAAGACAGTATGAGGCACACAGAGTGTTGCAAGCTGAACAAATTGAGTTAATTGAGTTTTAGCCTCACAGCCAGAAATCAGTCTGAGCTTCTGTGGAACTAAAGGTGCAGGCTTGCTGGGATTATCTGATATCCCATAAATCTATGACTGGCTTGCTGGAATTAATCAACATGGATCTGGGCTCTGTCTGCCCACTCTGTCTACCAGTGACAGCAGAGACATGCCTTGAAACGGACATTTGTTTTTATTCTTTTTTTCTTGTTTTTATGATTTGTTTGTTTTTTGTACCAGGGATTGAATTCAGGACCTTGTGTTTTTGAGTCAGGTTGAAGCATCGCTGAGCTACGTCCCCAGCCCTTTTCTTGTTTTTATATGAGAGTGAACATTGTTTCTAGTTTTGTTGCTGTTGTTCTGTTTTGTTCATGTTTCTGTTTCTGTGTTCTTTCTTTGGATCCTTTCTTCTTCACCAGTTTCCCAAAGTTCTTGTAATCTTCCTTTGTCCTCCAGTCTTATTTCTAATCTCTTCTTCAACTTCTCTAATTCCCCTTAATCCTTTTTTGCATTTTTGCCCAGAGGGTAAAATTGCCACATTTAGAGAATATTTACTGACACAATTTTCTGGTTTGTTTTAGATTTTGTTATATAATCACAAATATAGTTCATACAGTTAAAGGTGACAAATTAATATTTAATGCAGTTTGTTGTTTTCTAAACTGTGTTTTATTACTGATTGTACTACTTTAGCCAAGGTGACACATTCCCTAAGAATTTGCTATACTAGCAGTGAAGCTACCTGATATAAGTAATTTACAAACAACTTAGGAATTAAACAAACAAACAAACAACAACAACAAAAGAAAAGAAAAGAAAATGAGAAGACAGGGAAGCAAGATGCAACCCTAGACTTTCAGTTCACCAAAGGCAAGCCCAGGGGGCAATTAGGTAGAACAAGTTGAAAGCCACCCACCTGAACTCTGAAGTGGTAACAGCAAAAGTAACAAAGCAGATAAATGAGGCTCTGGAAAAAAAATCAAATTAGAAATAATTTCTCAGATAACTACAGAGATTGTGACCATAATGAAGGACATAGTTTGTGACTCTAGAGCAGATACAGATTAAAAAATAGATGAGTTCAGGAAAATTATGAAAACCATAACTGCCCAACAACATAGGAAATAAATGGAATTCATGAAGCAGATTCAAATAGATATTCAAGAAATTAAAAATTCCACTAAAATTCTACACAGCAATATGAGGACAAAATATCAGATCTAGATGCAGGATTGTGGTTAGCAATCATGAAAAGAAATATTTTTTTTCTGCAAGAAGCCATGAAAAATCATTGAAAAGCTGCTAGATGATGATGCAAAGAAGATTAATATAATATTAGTTGGAATCAATGAAAAATCGGAAGATAGAACAAAGGGCATAAAAAATCTGTTCACAGAAGTAATAGGAAAATAATTTCAAGAATGGAAAAAGATTTTAACATACAAATAAGTGAGGCATATAGAACTCTATATAGCCATAATCAGAAAAAAAGCTACAAGGCATAGAATAGTCAAGATTCAGAAATTTAACACAAGAACAGAATATTAAAAGCCGTTAGAGAAAAGAAACAAATCATTTATAAAGGAAAGCCCATCAGAATCATGGCAGACTTCTGAACACAAACCCTCGGGTCAAGGAGAACTTGGAGTGAAGTACTTCAGGCTTTAAAAGAAAACTATCCCCACCTGGGATTGATGTACCCTACAGAATTATCTTTCAAAACTGAGGGAGAAATAAAATACTTCCATGACAAAGAACACATGAAGAAATTCATGGCCATCAAATCAGCACTCCAAAATGTTCTGAAGGACATTCTAGAAAGAGATAACAAGGACTACAACTCCATAAACCTCAACAGAATGAATC